GATTCAGTCGTAATTTCCGCAACCCCGATACCTTCGACCACAGAAGACAGAGAAGAACCGAAAGCTAACGAAATGGAAAATGTTCAAGATAAAATAGAAGGCGCCTCTCCAGCTGCGGATTCAGTCGTAATTTCCGCAACCCCGATACCTTCGACCACAGAAGACAGAGAAGAACCGAAAGCTAACGAAATGGATAATGTTCAAGATAAAATAGAAGGCGCCTCTCCAGCTGCATCACCAGAAGACAGAATAGAATTAAAAGCCAAAATAAGCAGCGAAACGGATAGTGTTCAGGAGAAAACAGAAGGCGCCTCTCCAGCTGCATCACCAGAAGACAGAATAGAATTAAAAGTCAAAATAAGCAGCGAAACGGATAGTGTTCAAGAGAAAACAGAATGCGTCTCTCCAGCTGCATCTACACCAGATTCAGTGGTAATTACCACAACCCCGATACCTTTGTCCGCGGAAGACAGAAAAGAACTAAAAGCTAAAATACTAAAACAAGTGGAGTACTACTTCAGTACAGAGAACTTGAAAGAAGATTATTATATGAATAAACTTCGTTGGAAGACTGACGAAGAATGTATCCTTTTTCATTTATTATGTGTTTCTAACTTATTCAAGATGCGCGAATTGGATGTTCTCGATTAATTCCTAGTGACGATGCCTAGAGTCAATTCATAATTCTCTTCTTTGATCTATGCAATGATAACTATCCCTTGACCAGGACTTCTTGTATTAAAAAGGGGTTCCGATTGACGAAATCTGTAAGTTTCAAAGAATGCAAGATTACAAAGATCGCGAGTTAATTGTTGAAGCGTTGCGAGAATCGCCGAAACTGTTGGAAATAAACAAGAACGGAACTTCAGTACGACGATCTCCGTCCGATCCGTTGCCATTGCCTGAAGAAGTTTTAAATGGGCATTTATTCCGATCTGTGTACATGGTGAATTATTTTGACTTTTCATATATTTTTAATTTTATTTATTGTTGTAATAAAATAATGTTAATTGAATAATGATATATATATATATATATATATATATATAGAAAGGATTCACGACTTCTACGTCTCTTCAAGAAATCGAAGAATTCCTAAAAGCCAACAATATTGATTATAAGGAAGTCAAAAGAAGACTTGATGATAAGAAAAAATTCAAGGTTTTATTTATTTTCTGTGATAACTCTTTTCATTTTTTTGCATGGTTGTACTGTTGTTGTAATCATGATTTTTTTTCGATATTCAGGGTTCTGTGTTTATTGAATTCAACGATAAGAAATCTGCAGAAGTTGTTGTTGGTAAAGAATTGAATTATAAAGATGAAAAATTGCTCATTTTGCTAAAGTAATTTCATTTGTTTGATAGTTGGATTGAATTCAATTTGTTATATATAAACTTAGACCTATTAATGAATGATAAATGCTTCCTTTCATTAGATGGGATTATTGCCAAATGAAAATAAACGAAAAAGGTCTTCCCTCAAACACCATGCGACATCAATGCGAAAAACAATTCTATGCAAAAAAGCGTAAGCGTTCAACGGATAATAATGCGAAAAAGCGTAAGCGTTCAATGGAGAATACGAATTCTCGACAACACAGAAAAAAGAAAAGGGCTCTACCGGGCTAGAAGGTGTATTTAGGAAAGTTATTATATTTAATAATTGAAAACTGTAAATGATGCCTTATATACACATAATTGGTGCATATAATGTTTTGTTGATTCACAATCAGCACGAGTTTTCTAAAGATAATATTCGTACTTTAGAAAGAATAGTAAACTTTAATAAAAAAAAGTGAGGATTATTAAACTGAATCTATTAAATTATCCACATGTTGATTCCAATGTTACGGTCCAATCATAAATACCAATAACAGCAAGCATCGCAAGCTGCGCACTAATCAGAGAAATAATTGCGTATCGATATGCGCTTGGGTTGGATAGTATTGTTATTTCGGCCTATATATACCAAGTGTTAAGGTCAATTATTTTCATATGAAAAATTCTCGGTGATATTTCTTACCGCAAAGGATGATACAGTAGTCAAACAACCTAACGATAGCATATTATTAAATTTTTCCGATTCCAATTAAAAAAAATAATGATTAAATAAATTAAAATAAATACCGCAGAATCCAACTGACATCGCTGAAATTAAATCACACCACAGAATAGACGACACCTCGCCATTGCTAAGCATAAACAATAACGCAAAAATAAAAGTTCCCGAGATGTTTGCAGCAAAAGTTCCAAACGGAAAAGATAAGTTGAACGCGTTTAGTCTTGCTAGCTGCCAGCGTATTAATGTACCTGCGAAAATAAGATTATCAAAAAAAAAATAATTCAATAACAAAAATGATTGTTTTATTTATAAGGAAAATATCTGTTTTACCAAGAGGTCCAAAAATTGTGGATAATAAAACCCGTCGCTGGCTATGCCAGAATATCGAGATCGTAATCACAGCAATTAAAGATCCAAACCCAAGAATCGTACATATCCAATCAAGTAAACTAAGTTGATATAGATTAGCCTTTGTAGGTATAATCGTGTGCACTACTTTGATATTGTTGGTTTTGTTCTTGGTTGGTACGAAAAAACCGGCAAGATGTTCACCAAATTTTAATCCACTCACTGACATCCCTATCGTGATAATGATATAAGATAATGCTGAAATTGGCTTATAAAGGAGCATAAATCTTTATCAATTTTCTTTTTATTGAAATAAACGCTTAAATTTTATGAAAGAGAATGTTAATAAATACATTATCTATGGCACTACGTTGAGGTCCGTTATAATTCAGCAGCGACTGAGTAATCGCTATATTCCAAGACGAAAAAGTTGTAATAGAACCACAAAGACCTGTAGTGAGGCCTGTATAAAGAGGTAAATACCTTTTATTGATGAATAAATATCCAATCGAATCATCGATTAACCATATACTTTGCGATCAATAAAACGGCATGTAATTGATAAAAGAAGCACTCCTCCTTACCTTTCCAGCATAGTGGCTTTCTTTGCCAAACAAAATCCCATGATCACACAACCAAGAAATTGCGGGCCTATAAGTGGGAACACGGGGGCTCCAGGGTAGGTAATCAAATCAGTGAACGTAATTCTTACAAGTACGCCTAATATAGATGTAATGATCAACAATCCTATGACCGGGACTTTTCGTTCGGGAATAGCAAGGTTTATAACTTCACTAGTATCTCCTTCGTTCTCGACTACTATCTCTGGTGGATTTGGTGAGGGTGTAGTTAAAGATTTATCTGCTTCATCCTCGACTATTATCTTTTGCGAGGGTGTTATGACACCAGCATCAAGAGAAGAGTTTCCCGAATCTTTAAAAGCTTGATGATCAGTGGCTTTCAAGTTGGCCATTTAATTTGTTTTAAAGAGGGAACTCTATCAACTCTATCCTCCGAAGTAATATAAGCAAACATAAAGAATTAGTTTGAACCTATTGATTGACACATGCACGAAATATATAGGATGATGATCTTGACTTTTTTATTTTAAATGAAACCCAACTCTAATTTACTAACTAAATTTAATTACTAATTTAATCTTTTTTAATTAGAACCTTCATCTTCATCAACCCAGTTACTTTCGTCATCTTCATCTTCGCCCGGATCATCTTCTGCACATTTTGGACACAAACACAAAAATTTCCACTTTTTCGATAACTCCTCTCGTCGGCTTTGGGTGCTACGATCACCAATTTTAATGTAGCTTAGTTTTAGCTCGTCTCCAGCTTTAATTGGTTTAGTTGCGACAACCGACAAGACGTGATTTTCAGATGGAAATGTGATTTGTGTATTAGGATCACAAGAATGCGCAAAGTATGATGTAACATGATAAAATCCAGCCCCTGTAATTTGAGAATTGCTGGAACTACGCATTATTTCTTCTTTGCTCTAAAATCATGTAATAAAGGAATAATTTCATTAGCATATAAATTCCCGTTCTTAAAAAATCTTATAATCTTCCATTACCTCATTAATTGATTTGTTATATTCCTTTGCAGTATTTATACCATAAGAATTATATAAAAGTTTCCCTTTAAGCATCATATAGCGTTCCTCCGAAATAAATTCTTCAATCCCCGGTACTTTGCTAGCCAGCAAACTTTTAAGAATCTCGATCTCGCGTAGTTCTCGTTGAGTAGCCGGCAATTCTAAATACCGTAGTTTTTCGATGTGATCAAAAGTGCTGTAATCATCTTCGATCTTGTGCGCTACCTTCTCCGTCTCTTCATATACCATTCGGGCAAAGAATCGCGCAATCATCAGTGGGTATTTAACATTATCACCCTTTATCAAATCTACTAGTCGTGATTCTTTATCGGTGTGTGAAGTAGTGGATTTTTTGAACAAGATTGTCGAGTATTCGACTGCTGCAGTGTTGCGACATTTTTCGGAACAGTAGACAGGTTGAAAAAGATCCTCTTCGTCTTCAATTGTTTTTTCCTTTATTTCTCTCAAGCAGTATCCGCAGAAATCGCCTCCCTATACCATCATTATTCACATATTATTAATATTATACCAGCATGTGCAATAAATGTTATATGGCGCTTTTTAGCCTAGTCAAAAATTTATGTATGTATGCTATTTTTACCTCAAGATTTGGGTCAAGTGCTGACACAAGAGGTTTCTCTTCATATATAACGTCCCCCGGTTTGAAATCTTTCGTGGCAAATATTCCACGACGAATTAGCTTTTCTTTTTCACCGGAAGTTTTTGAGTTGTTAGCAATCTCGACTGGCTGTATTTTGACATTCATCTCTTTTGATGGAAATATCTCCCAGTATTCTTCTTGCTTTTTCTTTATCTAGTAGCATTTAATGAGACATCACAATATCAATATCAAATTGTAAGTTTTTTCTTTTTTTTTTTGATTAACTTCGAGTTAAATTGTACCTCAAGAGACATCATGGTGTAAACCAAATTAAACACGGCTTCAGGGATAGTCTTTTGATATATCATGATAAGTTCCAGTGGTGATGGATATACTTTCAACGCCTTGTAGAAACAAATAGCAGCTGATTTATATCCAGCTTCGCCTATTAATGAATTGGCATATTAAAGATAATTGAATCAATTACCGAAAATTTATTAAAAAAAAAAGAAGATCACACTTACCACCTGCGAACAGAGTTTCTCCCTTTGCCACCTGATCCATAAAGAATTTCTCTTTAGCCTCAACCGTGTCCGGGAAATCTTCTTTACCGACCTCATCAAGGGCTTCTCGCGCAAAAGTGGTTAGCTTGTTTCGGGCATCTTCTTCGGCGGCTTTACGAAGTTTGGCAAATCGTTTTTTATTCTTTTCTGAAAATCCATATAGGTTGATAATTCAATTGATTTATCAAATATTTATACAGAATATTAATTTCAAACTTTGATTTTTGATTTTATGATAATTTTGAAATCAACGTGAAAACTTACTAATTTTCTTTCTAAAAACCGGGTCATTACGCCTTTTATAGTCGAAATACACTATATATCCTATACCTATAACCCCCACAAAACCCAAACCAAAAAATAAGGCTGTTCTCGAATCCATATAAAGTTTGTAATTATTTAAAAAGCAGAGAAAAAGTGGATGCAAAAAATCTGATCAAAAAAAGAACGTATATGTGCAATTGTCATAATCACATGACTCTTAGAAACATGAGTCATCTTATTTTTCCTAGCAAAAGCAGAAATGTTATGCCAGGCACGTATTTAAACTCGCATACTTAATCAAGCGAGAAAAAAATGAAACGTCTATCAAACCAGGAGGACTTTTTTTTGCGTCCAAGTTTAGAATTTGTAACACCGTGGATTTAATCTTTTATGTGCGTGGGTATTGGAAGAAATCGGGATGCTACGTAACTCAATTTTTTTTTGACTTTAAATTATTGCGCAATGCACATGAGCTTAAAGTAGAATGTGCAAACAATATATTAAACAATAAACTGCTCAAGAAGGTAATGATTGACCATGGGAAAATATGTTGTACATACATTATCGTGTTATAAAAATAACCCATCCTTGGTAGCAGGCATAACGATAACGACAAAAAAGATAAAAAAAACTAAGGAATTCATCGTCCCATACATATTTCCTTTAATGTTAGGAAGCTTGGTGAGTTCTAAAATGTCTTTCCCAAGATGAATTTACAAGATCTCAGATACTTTGCACTGTTCTTATAATATCTGAAAGGAAATTCTCTGTAATTTTATCTATCGATATCGGTATTAATAATAAAAACAGCTTTACTACTTTTATAGTATTCTTTTCCATACAATCCATATGTGAACCGGGGGATTTTTTTGCTAGCTAAATTTCTTTTATCATACATAACCACACAATATTTAGTTCGCGAAAATTACCTCTTTATGCCAATTCAAGTAAATGTAGTTGGAAAAGAAATAGTATGAATATGAAATAAATGAATTTTTGTTATAAGCATATTTATTTTATTAATGAATTGCTAAAATAAACCGATTGGCATTCTTGGTCTCAAATTGCGCTGTTCGGGGAAACGTTAGTTTGTTCCGGTTTTCTAATCGTCCAAATCGGTTCATCATGTACCGATTACAATAGCAGCAGTTTCTTGGTTCCATTTTCATGATCGACATTATCCACATTTAAAATTAAATTAAAAAATTTTAATAATTATTATAATATATAATATAAAAGAATTATATTAATAATTTTATATAATATTTAATTATATAAATATTATTATATATTAATCTTTATTTTATATTTTATAAATTATAATTATTTTAAAAAAATTAATATTTAATTATAATAAATTTAGTCAAATAATTAATATAATTTTAATTTTTAATTAAAAGTTTTATTTTAATTTATAATAATAAATATTAATTTATATAATTAATAAATAATTAATTTAAAATAATTAAATTAAATTAATTTTAATTTTAAATTTTTATTATAAATTAGAATAAAAAAAGAATATTAAATAAAATAATAATATTATATAATAAAATTATTTTTTTAATAATTTTAATTATAATTCAAGACAGATTTATATATTAATTTTCTTATTTTTTTTTTATAATATAACTTTTTTAATTAAATTTATTTTTTAAATAATTAAAAATTTATAAATTTTTATTAATTACAATCAAAAATTTTATCATATTTGATTATTACTAATTACATCTTATTTAAAATTAGAATATTATTTTATAAATTATAATAATTTACTAATCAGTAAAAATATTAATTTTATATTAGATTATTAAGCTTAAACTTTAAATAATTAATTTTTATTTATTATATTTATTTATAATTTATTTTTTATTTTTTTATTATATTAAGAAAATAGATTATTTTTTTAAAAAAATAAAGTAATATTAATAGTAAATTATTTGAATGATAATTTTACAAAAACTTAATTTATAATTTACATAAGTTAGATAATTTTCTAACTTAAATTTTTATAATTCAGATTATTTATTTTAAGTTTCAAAATTTTTTAAAAAAGACTTTTATAATTTATATATATCAGATAAAATTTTAATAAATATATTTTATATTATTATTTATTATCAAAAAAATTTTTTAAATATATATTTAAATTTAATTTTATTTTAATAAATATTTAATAAATATATTTATAATTAGTAAATTATTATAAAAATAGAATATTTTAAAAAATTTTTATTATTTAAAATAAATAAGTATTTTATTTTTTATAATATATTTAATAGCTTATTTTGCTTTTTTATTTTTAATTCAAAATATTTTTTCTGAATATTTTTATAAAGTTATTTAAAAAAACTTTTATTTTTAGTAAAATTTTAATTTTATTTATATTATTTTTATTTTCTTATATATTTAATTCTTGCTTTATAATTAAAATTAGTCTAATTAAAGAAAAATAATTTTTATTAATAAATACTTTTATAATAAATTTTATTATATTTACTTTACTAAATATAAAAAATTCTTAAGATTTTTATTTAATTTAAATTCTTTTAGATTTTAATTTATAAATTCAAGATTTTTTAGATAAATTTAAAATTTTTAATATTTTATAATTAATTTTAATCAAGTTTTTGATTTTATTATTTAATAATTATTATATTTAATTATATTAAATAAATTTTTTTAAAGCTAATTTAAAGTTAAAAATTATAATAATTATTTAATTAAATAAAAATATTATAATATTTTAAAGAATTTTTTATAATTTTACATAATAATTTACTAATAATAATATTATAAAATAAAAAATATTAAATTTTATTTATCTCTTTATGATAATATTAAATTTTTAATATTATTTATAAATATTTAATTTAGAAATAATATAATTTTTTTATAATATTATATATTTTTAAATAAAATCTTATTAATTAAATTTTATTAAAAACTTTTATAAAATAATAAATAAAATAATATCTTATAGATTAAATAAAAAAAATATTTTTCTAGTAGTTTTCTTTAAAAAAGAACTATTAATTCTAATAATCTTTTAATAATTAATTATTACTTAAAAATAAATAAATATTTATTATAATAAAAATAAATATTTATTAATAATAATATATAAATAAATATTATTTTATAAAAATATATAAGTATTTAACTTTTATCTAATAAAAGTAAATTTTATTAATTTAAGTAAAATATTCTTTAATTAATGAACTAAAATAATTTTTCATATATAATTATATAAGTTTTATAAAAATTATTTAATAATATATAGTAATGATCAAAAGTAATAATTCAGGAGCTAAATTTATTAATAAAATATAGTGAAAATTGAAATTTTCTCTCTATATTAAAATTTATAATTTTAATAAGAAATA